GGCTCAGCTTTGGGTGTAGGTTGTCAGAGAACTGGTGCAAGCTAGATTCTTCACTGACATTCCGGAAGCAAGTCATCCCGTTTGCACAACGGGCGTGTGGCTTTGGTCTCTGGGCCACATCACAGTAACTGTTCCCACAGAGCTTAGATGACGATGGGTGTGTGTTTGTGCACACACATTCATATGCCCCATAAACATTTTTCCAGCATGGAATTCAGTTCTATGATTATTCTGAAGTATCAAAAGTAAATATCCACAGTAGCAGATTGCTTTCTGTTTATTTGTTTCCTGGTAAATTTTGAATGATTCTGTGTCAACAGAAAAAAAAATCACTCTAATTTAAGATTTAAAAAAAATTTTAATTGTTGATGGCATCTTGTGAACTATATGTAATTATCACATTCTGTTGTGTGCCTCTGAATGGGATGGGATGCCATCACGCGGGACAGGAAATGTTGTGTAACTAACAATGTCTATTATAAGGACCCCATAGTGGCCCTATATAGGAAGAGCATATAGCTCAGCTGGCTAAGAGCGCATCTTCAAGCCGACTCTTTCCAAGACAAAGAAATGTGGGTCATGTTGCGTTAATTCTCTGAGGTCCTCTTATAGCCAAGGCACCCTGCTAGGTAGTTTACGCATGCACCTCTTACAAACACCTCCTGGAAAACTATATTCATTAATACTCATTGCTCAGAGGGAAAATGGATCCGATGGATTAAGGAACTTGATCAAGGCTACACACTGAGTGTGTAGCTCTGATCACACTCATTAGATTTAGAATCAGGCTGTGATTCTAAAGCTTTTTAGCAGAAAGCTTTGCTTAAGAAGCGTCATCAAAGACACTGACCGTCACCTTTCAGATGTCAAATGGACTTGTCATGTGTACAGAGTGAAGCATGTCTCCATCTCAGTACACTGCTATTCCTTTCAGTGCTTCCGGGCTTCTGTTGTCCTGAGAGCCCTCTCAGCTTCGACCCTATCCATGATTAGGCTCTGAGTGTGTCAGCGACATAACCTGAAATAGAGGAACGTCAGCAGCGATGACTACAGGCTGCTACTAATTTCTCATTAACAGTTCCCAGCTGCGACTAGCAGCTTTTCAACTGCCACCAGGGGCTGCTTGATCCAGTCCCTCACCTCCTCCAGGGGTTCAGAAGAGATCCATAAATTCTTCTCCTTCATTCCTGTTCTTTCCCAGGCTTATCACAGGGGTATCTTCAGAGCTTCCCGTTCCTGGGTGCAACAACTGCTGAATGGACACACTGGAATATCCGAGACTGAAGCAAGACGAGGTGCAGAGGAACTGGATGCCTGCTTTGGGCTATTATTCTCACCTCCACAGCCAAGGTGAGAGTTCCCTGACCATCGCCTGCAGGAATCCACAGCTCATGCCAATTGCACCCGAGCCAAGATTACCCTCTCTGGCCCCTACACATTTTTCTTCTTCCAAATTGAGCACAATGAACACTAAAGTTCTCTCTAAAAGTACCAGTTCCTGAAGAGATGTCCCTAGAAGCCCTCTATGCTCTGATCAAAATGAGCTGCTGCTGCTGCTCAGAAACAAAATTTGAGGTGCGCAGTGGCCAGCAGTGGAAGGCCAACATTGAGAACTGGGGCAGAGGTACCACATTCCTCTTTTTCTCTTCCCAATCCAGTGTCAGAATGATGTGGACAGTGGAGCTTGAAGATCAAGAGTAGGGTTCAGGAGATAAAATCCACCAAATTTCACATGTTCTCTCTGACAAAATTACCATCTGCTGTTTAGAAACAGTCTTGTGGCCAATCTCCTTCTGCTGGTTCTATTGAAAAAGACAATTCTTCCTTCAATTGAATTTCAATCTTTCAGCCACTCTCTCAGCCAATTTTATTTCAAACTCAGAACCATTCTTGTCTGAAACATCCTTGGTTCAATTCCCAACTCCGTCTGAATTGAGAGAGTAGTGGAAAGGGGTTCAAGAGAAATGGACTTTAAGGTCGAACAAAGTGATAAAGATAAAGATAATATTGACAATAACAGTGAACATGTGTTGGGCCTGTGCTGTGTTTTAGGTACTATTCTAGAGTACTTACAGGTCTATGATCTCAGGTCCATCTTTCCACGAAACTGTTGAGGTTACATCACATTTAATGATTTTAAATTATGTTATTTTTTACAATTGATATAAAGTGCTATAACATAGGTGTATTTATTCTTCTTTAATTTATGATTGAGGAATTTGAAGTACAGAGAAGTTGTGTAGTTTATCCAAAACCTGAATAATCTGTTTCCAGAGACCACTCTAGATCTTAACTATGTGGCAGACCGGACAAAAGAGCAAGAAAATATAATATTGAGCCATACCTTACTTCTACCCTTACCTCCTGCTAGGGACGAAAACTAGGGTAGGAACCATGTATTCTGGTCACAGTTCAGAGTGTTTAAGAGATACATCCCAAAGCAACAAATCTGAGATTCAATAGATGGCCCAAGGGTCCTGAAGTTTTTCCATTATACTCCCTGTTGTCCCTTAATGCTTCCAGTTGCACTTAAAATTTCCTGTGGGGAAAATACATTGGCCCTCCAGGCCTCTTAAGCAGGACACAGCATACAAGCCACACTGAGTTCTATCCTAGAATCCAGGGTAGATTCAACAGGATGAGCAGATTCAACAGATAAATGAGAGCGGCAATGACCTTATATGAGTGCTGGCTGGGAAGACCATAGGAGTGGGGGAGGTAGCTGAAGGTGGAGGACAAATCTGCAGCTGGTTCAGCCAAGCTTCTGTACCCCCAATACTTGTAAACAGATACAGAAACAGCTTCTACTTCAGCCAAGAAGAAAATGTCTAATAAGTGAGAGGAATCAGGTTTGGATCCTGTAAGATGCTTTGAGGTCATTACAATAGTGCCACTACCTGGGAGATGTATCAGTCTACAATGCTGACTTGGACCTGGTCTGTTTGTAGGAGCATGAAAGAGCAGAAACCCCACTGTACTCGCCCATCTTCATTTTTCTTGCTGAATGTTTGACTTGAAAATTTGACCTGGTATCCCAACCTTGTTTTTCTCAAGTCTCACACAGGCCTGGAGATGAGATGAACTGAGAAAAACAAGGTTGGGATACCAGTAGTAGGGACAATGTGTTGTAGTGGAAGGAGGAGAAAGGTGTTGATATATTTGTGGATAATAGAATACCAGCCAGCAACAGAAGGTGAGAAGAAGGTCGTCAGCTCCCCCTTCCTCCCCTTGACTTAGTCCATGGTAGGAGCTTACAGCAAGAGAAGCACAGGTTGTGGATGTGGTAGGGATGGGAGGTTATCCCTGGACTCTTTCCAAGAGGAAGTTTACTAGCAGTGCCTGTACCCTCCCTCATGGGGCCCCTGACAGCTGTGCTTGCCTTGTGGTTTCAGGAGAGATGTTCCCAGACGGAGTGAGTTGACATTCTCCTTTTCTGGTGCAGGCAAGGCCTGTGGTGAACTGGGCCCTGGCAGGATGTTCTCAAGGTCTATCAGAGATGCTAGGGCCCGCATTGTAAGGGAGGCAGGGACTGGCCCCATGGCTAGACAAAGTCTCATCTTTCAGAAGGAGGCTCTGGTTTCTAAACCAATAAGACTTTCATGTGGGAACATCCAATATGGCTTCCTCCCTGGCTGTACTCTTCAGGAGGTGGGGTGTGCTAGAGAAGGGACCCTGGGAGTGCTACAAAGAGGGCTGGGACTTTGGAGGGGGCACCATGGCCTCACTCAGGACCAGACCTATTTTCTACTCATCTGCTTCTGGTTATTTAGTGCTCCAGACGAGATGAGCACCCCAGATTCTCTCCCGCATGAAATTCAAGATACTCTCAGATGGTACATGAAAAGCTCTCTCTAGCTTAGATCCTTCCCCCAGACTTTCTTTAGCCACTTAAAACCAGGTTAGTGTAGCATCACACAACTACCTTTTTAACATGGCCACCACCAGTGTCACTGTCATTGTGGTGTTTGATTCCGGACACTTCTCCAGTCTAACTGTGATGCTGTGAGCTTAGTGGGTATCAGCACTTTCCCAGTACAGGTATCTAGGTTTAGTTCAGAAGAAACCAAAGGATCTTTTCAAAGACAGAGAGACCCAAAAGCTTCTCCAAAGGATGGGTGTCTCTACTCGGCAAAGGATGCATGTCTAGTGGTCCAGAGCTAGGGGGAGGGATGTCAGAAGACCAGGATCCCTGTGAAGACAATGTTCAGCACCCACTGGAGTGGAAGTAATGTTTGGAAGATCCGATGTAAGGTAATAAGGTGACATTTGGCCAAGGTTCTCAGAAGAGGAACTGTAGCCTAGTTGATTATTCATGAACCAAGTTGAAAACTTCCTTTCTTCTGAGTTGCACCTTCTCTTGGGTAGAAGCAACACAGGAACTGTGCTGCAGTCCCAGGGGTTAGTCTTAACTCTTACAAATGCCTTGCTCTGAGATAGGTGACCCGGCAAAAGCAAACCATGCAAGCCCTATGTGCCTAGGTCCGATGAGGTTTTTTTGGCACTGCTATTGTTCTGTTTGCCAGGTGTGTGACCTAGAGAAAATGTGTTAACTACTTAAACACCGCAATTCCTTGATCCAGCATATAGGAAGGACTGCTAGCACACTCACAAGACAGCTAGGGAATCTACTGCTGAAGAAAACAAGACAACAAAACATTAGTGTGGAGCTGATTCAGACTCCTGGGATCCAGGGTTGCGCAAATGATGAATAATTAGCTGCTAATGGAAAAGTTAGATGCTCGGGGTTATCCAAGATACCTTTAAAGAAAGGGTTGGTAGTCTGCTGGAATTTCTGGAAAACCTTCTGCTGAAATCACGAGGGGTCACAGTTCTACTCCGATGCAAAACAGGTGTTACCGTACACAACGAGGGTGCTCTGCAAGTGCTGTTGCATCCTAAGCGCTAACCCTCACTCCATCTATGTAACCTCCCAATCGAGCCGGTGGGCGCTCCTGATTCCCTTTTATGTTCTGCAGGTACAGAGCCAAGGGGATCAGAAGATGGAGTGGGATCCTGCACTGACTGCTCTCAACTGGACTGTCCCGTCCTCTGGACCTGGGCCCTTTGTCTTACTGGGGGTTCCAGGACTGGCGACACTGCATGCCTGGCTTTCTGTGCCCATGTTGGTGCTATATATGGCAGCTTTGACAGGGAACATCCTTCTACTAGGGCTGGTGGCAGCTGACCAGGCACTTCGGTCACCTATGTATCAGCTGCTGGGGCTTCTGGCAGCTGCTGACTTGGTTCTGGCCACGTCCACAGTGCCCAAAGCCTTGGCGGTGCTCTGGGGTCTGTCTGGTGAGATCTCCTTTGGGGCTTGCCTCGCTCAGCTCTTTGTTGCCCATGTGGCCTTCATTGTTGAGTCCTCAGTGTTGCTGGCCATGGCAGTGGACCGCTATGTGGCCATTTGCCAACCTCTACGCTATGCTGCTTTGCTGACTCAGCGTGTGGTGGGCACCGTGGCTGTAGCTGCTGTGACCCGTGGTGCCTGTGTCATGGCCCCCCCTGTGGCCTTACTCCAAAGACTGCCTTACTGTGGTAGGCGAGCCCTACCCCACACGTACTGTGAGCACATGGGTGTGGCTCGGTTGGCATGCGGCGACACCCGCCCCAACATCTGGTATGGTCTGGCCACCACACTGCTCTCTCCAGTCCTGGACCTTGGGCTCATAGGCACTTCCTATGCCCTCATTCTCCGTGCTGTGTGCCGCCTGCCGTCCCACGGGGCCCGCCGCAAAGCCCTGGGCACCTGTGTGGCCCATGCCAGTGTCATCATTCTCTTCTACACTCCTGCCCTCTTTTCCTTCCTGACACACCGCTTTGGCCAACACACAGTCCCTGGCCACGTCCACATCCTCCTAGCTAACCTTTATGTGGTGGTCCCCCCGGCCCTCAACCCTGTGGTCTATGGAGTGCGAACCCGGCAGATTACCCAGCGCCTCCAGCACTTGCTCAGATTATGTTGGACAGGGGCAATGCGGAATGTGGGTCCTGGGGGGGCCAACCCACAGGAGTGAATACATGTCCTGTGCCCACCAGATGGTGCCCTCAGATGGCCAAGCTGTGCTGCAAGACTCAGCCGAACAGAGCTCTGACCAAGACCTTTCTTTATCATTGGCCTCTAGATGGTCCTATGCTCAGCCTTGACCCTGTTCCCCCCACAGGGAAAAGTTCCCATGGAAGGGACCTGTCTTTGCCTGAGTCTCCTGTGCCTGGTCTCTTCCTGCCCTTTCTAAGTCTGTATGGAACTTCCCACCTTTCTTAAACATGGATAGAAAAGGGTGGCGATAAACAAGGAGACACCGAATACAGCCCACGTCAGGCAGCCTGGACATCCCAAACTGTGATGCTTCCATTGCTGGGCACAGCCAGGATCAGATGAATGAAAGGAAGGCAGTGCTGAGGTGGGCTCTTTGTCCAGTGTTGGACACAGAGAAGGGACTCCATGGATGTGGGAGGGATGAAGACTGAGGAGGGGTTGGGGAAACGGGGACATGGGAATAAAACAGAATGCTACCCCACTCTGACATATTTTGGAAATGGACTTGGTTTCTGACCTGGGTGATTCCTACTGAGAACTTCAGAGGTTCAGGGACCGTGGGAGGAGATGGAGAGAACAACCCTGTGGGTTTTCGTCAGCTCTTTCCTCACTTTGTCCAGATGCGGAGACTTCTGCTTTTCCAACTAGTGCTGCCGACTGGTTGCAGAGGGAAAAATATGGGAAGATGTGCTCAGCGCCAATGATCAAACTCTGTGCTCTAATTTTCTACCCTTCCTTCCTTCCTTCCTTCCTTCCTTCCTTCCTTCCTTCCTTCCTTCCTTCCTTCCTTCCTTCCTTCCTTCCAGATCTTCCTCCACAGAGTAAGCGCAGTAGCTCTAGTGACACCAGGTGGATACTGATCCCAGATAGGCTCCCAGCTCCATGCTATTGGCATTCCCCAATTCACTCTTTCTTGCCTCCCTGATCCTTAGGGCCTGATGGCCGCCAGCAAAGGCAGGCCAGAAGGGTTGATGTAAAATGGATTCCTGGCCCCTTTCAATGCCCGAGGGTAAGGCTATGTAAAATGAGACAAGGGTAAGATTTCTCATATAAGCCCCAAACTAGTTGCCCTTGAGTCTAATTTGACTCAGGAGGACCATGTCCTGAATAGAATTGTGCTCTTTGTCAGGTTTTATTGGCTGATAGACCTTTCATTTTCTTGGGGCACCTCTGGGAGGACTTGAATGGCTGGCATTTTTGTTTGAAGTCGACTGTGTCAACCAGTTGCACTATTGAACTAAGCCTTCCTAGGTTCACACCTTCTGTTAAGCTTAGTCCTTTGGCCTAGAATGTGAAATATGGGGTTTTACCTTGGGCATTTGTTAACATAATGACTTTAAAGGATGAGATGAGTAATGTGCTCATAATTTATGAAGTTCAGGTTGTAATGAGAAGGAGGACCAGAATAAAGGGTATGGATTGCAGGGCTTCAGAGCCCAAATATCCCACCAGAAACACTACAGGACCCATTCTTCCGAGAAACCCTGATATCCCTCTAGGTGTTTGGTTGAATGTAACACTTTCCACTCTTTGAGACACACTCGTGAACAATGACCGAGGAGGGGAGAGCTGCTCAGTACAGCCAGCACTAACAAGGCTGGACTTTTAGCTCCCTTTCTAAGTCTCAGGAACTAAACCCTTGCTTCTGTGCGGGGATTGGCCAAGTGAGATGCAGGGGATTGGAGGCTTTATAACTAACCTCCTACGGTTGGCTCGCGTGTATTAGGATGGAGTTTCTTAGAGGACAGGCAATGGAGATTGTTGATACCAAGACCCCACATAGGCAGAAGCTCTTGAGTAGTGGGATGGCCTACAATCATTGAATGCCTGGGATAAATGAAGAGACAAGTTGCTTGAGTCAAGTGAGGGTATCTAAGAGAGCCTGCCAGTATAGGGCTGATGAAGCAATTCCCTCCACCCCCCACCCCCAATATACTCTTTGGCCTTCATCCAAACTTTTATGGCTAAGTAAATGGCTTCTGTCCTTGAGATTGAGCAAGTAAGGTTACATTTCCTCCTAGAGTATCTGCTCCCTTAAAGGTCAGAGAAAGATTATAATCCCTCCTTGAAAGGGACCCATCGAAAGGCCCCCACAGGATGTCTCGGGTTTGCCTTAATCTGTTTGGACAGGAGGGCCCAGCTGGGCAGGGGTAAATCTCAGCTTGGGGATGGATGGGAAAGATACTGTTTGTGGTGAGAAACTAGCCTCCACCCCATGTTGGAGACCCCAGTCTGTCACAACCCTCTTTCCTCCCATCCGCCCTCTTCTCTGCCTCGTGTGTGCTCAGCTCTTCCAGGTGTTGTAATCTGTGCCCCCTCCTGCTGAGGCCATTCACTAGAACTCTAGATAAAAGCCAAGGGAAATCCAAAGACTCGCTCGACTCCTACAGCAGATGCAAGATGCAGCTTGTCACAGCTCTCTTGGCCAGCCTCCTGCTGCAATTCCTGGTGCTCCCAGGACAATCCCAGGTACAGACAGGGGTGGTGGGGCAGGGTGGGGAACACGGGTCATGAGCAAACAGAGGGCAGTGCTCATTGCTCTGCGCTGGCTTGGTATCTCTCACTGCTTTGAGTCTCCTCAAGAATTCCTAGGTACTGGGAGAGAGTGGAATTGGACAAACCTAGGAAGGGAGAGCAAAAGGAGAGGACCTTTTCCTTGTTTTCATTTCCCCCACCTTGGGTGGATATAAGACAGAAGAGGGAAGACAAAGGTAAAGGTAATCAGCCACCTCCGCCGCATGATGTCTGCAAGGCTAAATTCGTGATCTGGTGTATCAGGTTGAAGATATGGCCAGATTAGCCACCAGTGCCAGAGAAGCTATGGGTGAGATTTCGCAGAGAATGATAGACACCGTGTATCTTAATTTTTGAAAGACCTGTAAAGAAAACTCAGTTGTCTCAGTCCCAATTAAGAGTTTTAGAAAGAGTATTTTATCTCCCACTGACTCATCCCATTTCAAAATGGTGATGGAGAGGTAGGTTGGCATAGGATTTTAATAGCTGATATAAATGAGGCTCATCGCAAAAAGGCATGGTCTTAAGTGTTTTTGTTGTTATTAGGTATGTAGAATCAGTTCCACCCCATAATGTCCTGATGTGCAAACAATACACACTGCTTGGTCCTGTGCCATCCTTATAATCATTTCGATGCTTCAGACGATTGTTGCAGCCACTGTGCCAATTTGTCTCATTGAAGGACACCCTCCTTTGCACTGACTCCCTACTTTCCCAAACGCGATGTGCTGGTACCTGGTACCTCCTCATACATAACATGGCTTACCATCTTTGCTTCCAAGGAGGATTCTGGCTGTACTTGTTTCAAGATAGATTTATTCATTCTTCTGAAAGTTCATGGCATATTTAAATCCTTTGCCAATATCGTAATTCAAATATATTGATTCTTATTTGTTTTCTTTTTTCATTGTCCAGCTTTCAGGCAACTGGAAATATCCTGGCTTGGGTCAGGTACACCACAGTCCTCAGGATGACATCTTTGCATTTATAGACTCTAAAGAGATCTTTTATTGCACGTGTGTCCAATGTAAAATGTGGCTTGAATTCTTGACTGCTGCTTCAGTGGGTGTTTATTGAGGATCCAAGTAAAATGAAAAGCTTGACAACATCAATCATTTCTCCCTTTATCATGATTTGCTTATTGGTCCACTTGTGTGGATCTTTGCGTATTTACGTTGAAGTGTTTTACCAATATTATCTTTATAATTCTCAAAAGAAAACAGTAAGTGCCATTACCACCCTCTTTGTACAGATTAGGGCACTGTAGCACAGAGAGATTAAGTAATTAAAAAAATGTCAGAGTCAGAATTAGACCTCAGGCAATCCAGCACTATACTCAGTGGGTTTGGGCACTGAGTGAGAATGTTAGTAAGAGACCAGGCAAGGGGGCTGGGAACGAACCCCCAAATTCTGCATCTTTCAGCCCTAAAATCTTCCTGCCACCTCAAGTCTCTTTAGCTAATACGAAGAAACTGCCTCCCACCTGGCCAGCACTACATCCTCCCCTGGCAGAGCTTTCGCCTTGTCGTTCCCTTCACGTGGGAGCATGCGATCTAGAGAACAGAGGCAGTTCAAGACCTGGTCACTCACTAAGCATACGACTCAGGAAAATGACTTTGATTTTATTTCTAGTTTAGATTCTCAGAATTTCTGTTAGAAAACAATAAAATATGAGTCACATTTATGCCTTGCTATATTCTTGCAAATGCTAAATATCAATCCAGACTCTGGTGTTCCGGGGTGCTGTTGATGTTATTTTCCTTCTTGGACAATCGGGAACTCTCTGCCCTTGTTGTCTTCATGGCGATGTGAATTTATAGACATTTACCAAGCCTCTTTAGTAGGTGTCCAGTAGAGCAGGGAAGCCCTACAGTCTGTCCCTTCACATCTCTCTTCAGAACAGCTCTGCTCTCTCCCACAGATCCCCCAGGGGAAATTGCCGACCAGCTCTGAGAATGGTAGTCAAGTTCGTTCAATGCAGGAGGTAATGTACAGGTGTGCTACTGTACTGATAACGTACTGGGAGGGGCCTTCATTTCTAATGTAGGAAATCATAGGAAGGGTGGCTCAAATCCAAGGCAGAGAGGGGTGTCTGAACACTGACAGAGACTCCCCACTGCCCTGTATGGAGAGCAACTCTCAGGCACCCTGCAGTAGGGATAGCCTTATGTTTCCAAATTGCTTAATATTGGTTTTACAGCTGGTGGAAAGAATGCCAGGCTCTGTGGATCAGGGTGGCAGATGTCATTGTGTGGTCCACCTGCCCAGTAATGCCATCCCCCTGCAGCAACTGGAGAAGCTACAGAGGACAGCCCAGGAGCTCATAGGCAAGTATGAGCAGGAGCTCTCCAGGGTGAGTGTTAGTGTTGTAGGCTGGGCCTCCATGTTATCCAAGCTCACCTTTTCCCAGACCCAGCATGGGGCTGAACCCCAGGCAATTCTGGTCTTTGAGATAAATACATGGAATGAGGGGGGTGGTGGTTCTATACTGTACTTGGGATCCCCAGTAGTAATAATAATAAAGTATGGAGAGACTTATGCAGGGAGTGCTTCCTATATTAATACTTGGATTAATAGGTATGATCCCACTGAAAGAGAGGAAGAGGAACATTTATGTACATTCATAGAATAAGCATGGTGATTCTCGTGCATGTAGAGTTGAACTATATACTCTATGGAGTTTTTAAAACTGTCAATTTTGGGACACAAAGTTCCAGATGGTTCTTTCTCCCCCACCCCCAACAGTTGTATTGGCATATAGTTTACATACCATGCAATTCAATAGTTCATTCATATCGAGGAGAATTGTACAATCATTACCACATCAATTTTAGAACAGCCCCCTCTCCGCCCCTGCTGTGGTTAAATCACCTTTAAAATGTGTTGTGCAATCAAAATCAGTTCTAGTGCTCCATCGCACTTCCCCCCTTCAATATTTATTCCCGAAATCCTCTTTCCCTCCATTTCCCCCACTCTCCATCCCTGCACCCCCTTACACTATTGCATCCATTATTATCACTATGGACTGACTCCTCCTGTGCTTCACAAACTTGGAAACCCCAAAAGAAACAATAAAAAACAAAATCAAAATAAGGTGGTAAGGATAAAATAATAATAATAATATAAAGACAAAAATACAAATAATGAGTCAGAAAGAAAAGACCCCCATCAACATTCAAAAAGCCAGAGAAGACATTCCTTCATGGAACGAGTAAGAGATACTTGCCCCGGGACCAGTTCAGGTCAGGTCCAGAGCAAGGTCAACTGGCCGGGCCCAGGTCTTTCTGTTTCTATTATTATTTATTGGGGGCTCGTACAATTCTCATCACAGTCCATTCATACACCCATTGTGTCAAGCACATGTGTACATTGGCTGCCCTCATCATTCTCAAAACATTTGC